AGGAATGCTAAATCAGGGTCAAAATGTTTACTTCATGATTATTTTGTACTTCATTAGATTCAATTTAACTTCGATAATTTTATAAAAATGCTAAAATCACTAGTCATGCACTTCAATGAAAGAGCAGCTTTGCAAATTTTCTATTCCCAGTGACAGTTAATTCAACACTTCAAAGTATAAGAAGGTAAATGATGCAGGGAATGATAAATGATGCTCTCAAATGGCTGAAAGATGATAGCATCCAGATAAGAGGAGGGCAAAGCACTACTTACAGAGTTAAGGGATAACACAGAAAGAGAGAAGAAAGCTGTCAGGAACTTTTGGGCAACAAATACCATCAAAACATTTCTATATGGAGGAAATATGATTCCATTCATGAGAGAATCATTAAAAAAACGTTCCTAAATGTTCCTAAACACAACTATCTACATCTGATTTGTGTGTCTAATTTATTCACTTCTACCTCTTCACACAAGCTAAGTAGAACAAAACATCACAGCAGGAGCAGGACAACAGATTTTGAATCCTGCTGTGTTTGCTCAAGAAAGCAAGTAAGGCTTTCCTACTAGGAAACAAAACACCTTTTTGAGCTATTAAGGAAGAATAGCTTTTGCTCTTCAATGAATATAAAGGCTGCTTTTCAAAAGTGTTTCAAAGATAAAGGTCACTTTGGAAGTCAAACTGAAAAGTCTGAAAATTGGTAAATTTGAGTTATTGTTTTATGACTATTTTCACAGCCCTGTGGGATGGTTACATAGAAACATGCAGAAAAGCAACATAGAGGACATACAAAAGTCACATGAATTTCTTCCATTTGTCTGATAGTGGGCCTTTCTTTTAAATACATTAGCTCTTCCTAGACATATTTTCTTCTGAAAGCTACATAACCATATTAAATCAGCATCTCTATCACCTGAAATTATGGTGGGGTTTTTTTTGGTGTGGAATTTTCTATTTTAAGTATCGAGTATGTCACTAAGATCTTTTCGAGACAAGTATCATAGTGCAACAGACATCCACCTTAAAATCCTCTTACTTCATTTCACCTGCACTCCAGTTCTGAATTTGCAACAATTTGATTTAGAGCAGATAGCATAACAGTAACATATTTTAATTTTTATTTAACTTCCATAGATAGTTGAGAACCTACAGGTCTTCAAAATCAATGGCTAATCACCATAGAACATTGACAAAACAGTGAGAAGACTGTAGCCAAAGTGTTTCACGCAAAAGACAATGCATTTCATCAAGATGACCAAGTATTTATAACGATATAAAATAGTAACAGTAAACTTGGAATACCACATTTTTCTTTCAGATCACTTAAAGATTAAAGCAAACATGTTTAGAGACACATGACTGTTTGAAATGCTTATAGAGAAAACATCTGCAAGATGATACATGGATTCAAAAAAAAATACAGGACCAGTTCAGACACCATATGGCAAAACATGTACACTAGTGACCATCATTCATAAAGACACGCGTCATCCCTGTGCTGCTTTCTTTCATCTTGCAGATAGCAAGAGGTTTTGTTCATAAGCTATCAAGCCATGCTTAAGAAAAGGCTTATTTTTTACCTGACGCTATCAAAAGCCTTGTGGATTACTTGTATCTGTCCTGCCTCCCCATCCCATTCCTTCCTTCCCACCCCTCTCCTCTTTCTCTGCATGAAAGTAGTGTACAATCAACTAGACATTATGCATACACATATAAAATACGCAGCTTTATTGCTGCATCCGTTTGCTCAAGGGGTAAACACACCAAAACCGGGCATTTTTGACCTTGCATGAAAACTGTTCTTTTTGGCTAACCTCAAACTTGAGTAATTTGTACCAGAACTTTATTGAACGGCCCAGAATTGTGGACAACAGAATGTAAACAGCCTGACTGGTTCTATCTTTCTGCACTAGTATATTATAACCTCCCTCTGTCTCTTCTTTCTGCAAACTGTTAAGAGAAGCATTTGGCATAAACTTTTAGACAAGAAAGTGAACACAAAAAAGCCAAAGAAAGCAAGTCTAGACAGTCTTTTAGTCCTTCTACTTTTCCAGGAAGCTGTAAACAAAAGATTTCTTTAAACCATCTATTTCCAAAATTAAAAAAAAAAAAAAAAAGCAACAACTTTTGTTACCATGTCGCATTTGTTAGGCTCTGCAACTATCAAAATGCAAGAACAAACTAGGGACATGTGAACAAATAGCATATTACTCGCAGATTTAGAATAGAATTTTCTGAGTTCCACAAGCAAGGAAATTTCAAATATATATAGCATCACAAAAATAAATGCTCCCACGCTCATATTTCTTGCCTTTTAAACTAAAAAATGAACGAGATACATTAATTAACCATTTTAAAGTTTTGTGTTCCATGGATGCCCTCACCATTCTGCAAAAGCTGTTCATTGAAGATCTCTTAACCTATACCTTTCGTTAAAAACTGAACTTTGATCATCATCCAAGATGGTTAAACAGTGATGGTTAACTGATTAATTGCTACGACATTTCTTATTAAAGGTGCTTTACCTAGCACAATAAGCACGACTTGGACGAGTATTGCTATTTCCCAGGATATTCCATTCATTTTTTCATCTTCTTATTTTTCACCGCAAACCACAAAACAGCATCTAGATTTTCTATTTTCTGGAAACTTTAATTATATTTGTGAAAAATACAAGGATGATGCAACAGGCATCAAGCAATTCTTTGAGTCTGCCACAATCATTGTACTATCAATGACGTGCAGTGGTGACTCTGGTAACATACCATATCGATGCAGAAGTTGCTTAAAGGCAAGAGCATATAATATGAAAACTATATGCAACCTATTAGAGAAGTCAAATGTTGGATGTATTCAAAGATGTGTTGATAGATACAGCGGGGAGCAGTGAAAGGGTACCAGCTATACCATAGGTTCTGCAGTCTCTGCAATAGAGACAAAACGATCCAGAGATGTTTCACATGGAGTAATGGGGTGATTTTTTTTATCCTTACTGTTACTTCAAATTGTTAATAAAATAGCCTCCCTGTTGTTTTAAAGTTGTAGGCATGTAGACATGATATACCTATCATGTTAAAATAGCTCATATGTTTGAAGAGCTGCTCTCAGCGAGTACCTTAGCTGACTTTGATGTCAGCTACCCTTCTTGCTGCTCAACTCCAGAGCCCCCATTACAGTGAAGTGTTTCACTGATCACTACTGTACCGTACTCACATCACCATGGAAACATGAAGGACTGGTGACTACTTTGAATGACTAAGATTTGATTAAAATATTTTACCTTTTGAGCCTGAGGGAGCTGGAAAACAACAAAACAGAACAAGCAATCATTATACATTAAATTAATTTGAACAGCCAGTTTAGCTGTTGTATTCATAAGATCACAAACATAATATAAAACAAAGTATAAAGGAAAGAAACTAGAGAAACTACATTTACATTGCCAATCGATTCAGCTTATTGAGGGCTTATTAACTTAGCTTATTATTTGACAACTTCTCTACTAGGTATCACAAAAGCACCATGTAATTTGTTAAATACCACGACAGTAAGAGAGTGACTGTTTTCTCATCAGATATGGTATCACACTTGAATTGAGCAGTAGTTCCATCTTCCTCAACACAAATATAATTCAACATAAAGATAGTTTTAATTACAAACCAAGAATGGCTGTTTTTAAAAACATCTAAACCTACACGTATTATGAATGAGATTCACATTAAGAACAGTTTATCATATTAAAGTAGAAGGTTGTATTCTCTGTGACACAGGAAAGAAAAACAAAATGGTAATAGAAAGTTACTGACTGCTTACGGAAACATATTATCATATATGCATAATATAATGTATGCACAGAACAATATATTTCTGTGCTGTAAACACAAGTATGATTATATGTACACATATGCAGATAAAACATATGTGTTTATGCATATATGCATACTTATATCACACAAATGTTCTTAGACAAGATTAGCCATACCTGGTTGTATGTACAGTATTTACTATAAGCAACAACTCACGTAAAAAGGCATGGAGAGCAGGCAGTAGACTCCATTACATATGAAATACCTTATTTATCAAGAGTTGAAAAATGGGTTGTGTTTTCACTTTAGGAAAAAGAAAAACCATTGTAGGTAACAGAGAGGAACTTAGAAAAATAAACTATTATAAGCACAGTACAGTTTTCCCTTTTTCTGAATTCTTCTCCTCTTGCTTTCATACTTGTAGAGAAATTCACCATGCACAGCAATTTAGACTTGTGTTAAATCCACCTTCTCAGAAAATTTCTTTTTCCAATACAAATTGTTTCTTTACAGGCATCAGCTGAACACAGAAACAGGCAGGTGCATCAACACCAAATGCGAAAAGACCTTCAAGATCTCTAGTGAGCTTCTGACTGATCTTTTGTCCTTGCTCTGAATTAAAACAGATAGAAAAAACAACTTCCATATAGTACTCTGCTAAAGGCTAATGTCCACACCAGTATATGTCATGAAAGAGAATTGTTACATGATCTCTAACTCACAAATACTAAAAGCAACCAGCCACAATTTCTCTATTTTCACAATACAAAATGTAACAAAATTAATGGCAGGGAGAATTGCTGCAAGTAAAATTCTTTCATCCTAAAACTTGAATGATCCAATAGCAAAATATGAGCCATGATCACACTGAAGTATGACCTGTATGTTTCTTTAAAAGCCCGTTGTTTAAATAATTGATTACATAGAACGATATACAATGGTTGCTGCAGAAGTTGCAGATCCATGATGAACTGTAAATACATCAGCTAAATCCTGTGTAACAGCTTAGAGCATTACTTAGAGCAGTTTAAAACCTTTCCGAACATTTATCTACTTATTAGTCTTCAACTCGGTTAACTACTTTGGTTAATGCAAAGCTTTTTATTCTTTTTATATTCAAACAAAAGGAGAAAGTTGCAGTATGAATTTTTGAATTTCCTATTGTAGCACTGAAACTGGTTTTCTAACACTGTTTTTTTTGTTGTTTTGGTGAGGATTTTTTTTTTTTTTTGGTTTTTTAATGCCATCTTCTTGCTAAATATGTGTAAAAATTGCAAGCATCTTTTCATTGGTATCTGAGATAAAGACACGTGCAGTAAAGAATCATGTCCAAATTTCCACCCTTGGAATAAATACTACAGAACTTTGCCGTTTGCCCAAGCCCACTACACATGGAAAACTCATGATTTCCTAAGGAGCTAATTTGTATGCCATATTCTACAAAACATACTTCAAGTACAGTCAAGTTATCCAAGGCAACACGCACACTGTTAGGTACAGAAGTATCACTGCAGAAATGCTTATTTCCAGGTAACATTCCAAGTAAAATGGAAAGCTGATATTCCACATACGGTGGAGAGAGGTTCAAGGATGGGGGTGCGGAAGAACATTAACAATACTAACAAACACAAAACCCCAAAACACAAATGCACGTACACACACAATGCTCTACTGGGACCTCAAATTTAAGTCAAATCCTTATACAAATATTAGTATTCTTTGATGTAATTTTTACTAGTTTTCAGAACTCCAGTTACTCCTATTTGAGCACATCCCTTCAGATGCATATCGTTTGGTCAAGTTTTGCCATGTGAGGGAATTACAGTCAGATGGAATGAAAGTGAGGATTTCCCATAATAATTACCACACAAACTGGATGCTACACACTTTTGTATATGAAACTATCCCTATTGCTTTTACTGAGATTATTTTCAAGAGCACGTTAGCAAGTTTACAAATCAAAGTTCCATATTATCTGACGCTGAATTCAGTTTGTCAATCCCATCTATAGCCTTTTATAAAATAAAGAGTATTTCCTTTCTCTGAAATATTAGTAGCCAAAGCCTTGATTAAGGATAATAGGGTCAGCAGATGAGATTTAGATTCCATTATGCTTTTTCCTGGACTGGCATTCTTGTCACTTTTCACCTAAGCTTCAAAAGCCAGGTTCACAGTCTTTTCCTTAAAAAAAATTAAAGAAAAAAAAAAACAAAACACTTTTTTACAGCCAGACAAATCTTTATTCTGTTGCTGATTTGAAATTTGGCTGTTACAAAATCCTGTATGTCAGGAATTCAGTTTAATAATTGCTACAAGTTCCTTTGAAATAAACTATGGAGGTTTGTCTGACATTACCCCTTCTGGGAGGCCATAGGAAACAAATAATTTTCCTAACAATAACAGTAATAGTCCTCTGGTCTGACCCTTTATTGCCTAGTGTAAAAACTGCTGTCTCTGTGTAAAACCCAGCAGGCACCTCCGATTCCCGCGGTTTGCTTTACACACTGCCAAGAGGCAGTTTTGCAGTAAGCTATGTGATCTTTCCCTGTCCCTCAAAAAGCACTGCAGCTCTTTCTGTTCTACTTGCACCTATGGTAATCTATGCCATTTTGGTGTCCTTATTCATCTCCAAGCATAGCAAAGTGCTTCGGGTTCCTCTCTGCTTCCCACTAGTGTCTCTTCCGCCCTCGGGTGATTGTCTCTAAAGACGACACATGACAGGGCATGTATCTGTTTTACTTGCTCTTAGCTTACCGTCTGGGTAATACATGTTTTGTTAAAGTGACTGTGGCTGAGGTGCAGGGAGGAAGTCGGGCCGTTGCTGTCTCCTAGTTGTTGCAGGTCGGCTCTTCCTCCACACAACCGCTTAGCCAGAGGCTGCGGTTGCGGCACTGCCAGCTATGGCAGGGACAGGAGCCTGCAGACCGATAAGCAGCAGGGGAAACCTGGGAGGATTTTCTGAAGTAGAAAAGAGGACTTGGGGATCTTGATGGAATGGTGTAAATTTGGCTGCAACGTCAAAGAAGCGGGTAGATTAAAGAACAGGATCGGAGCATAGGGCCTTGCAAGGGCACAGCGAAGAAAAGGGAGGGGGATTTGTTTGCAAACTCTTTTCTATACTTCCCAGAAACCCCAAATCGTTTTTACCTAACAAATTTTCTTATTATATTTTGTATTGTAAAAAAATACCCTCCAGAGACTGCAGGGCCCCTGAGGTTCACAGTATACTTGATTCTAATAGGACATGTTGAGTTTTCCAGTAGGATATGTTGAGAATTCCACCTATAAATTCAGGTCATCTTGGGGTCCTGTCACACAAGGTAACACAGAATAACAACTGTAGGAGGTTTTCCAATACTATTATTGCACACAGTGTCATGATTCCCACATTTTGCAAATAATCTAGTACTGTTTTAAGCCATTGTGGAAACTTGGTGCTTGGTGAAGAAAAATTACAGACACTACTAACATGGTAAAACAAAGACAGACAAAGGAGTCTGGTATCAAAGGTGTTGCACTATCTCTAGGATCAGAAAACTGCAAGGCCAACATGAGTGAAACAAAAAAACCCCATAGATAGATCTGAAATACTGTCTTTAGAAGCAGGAGGCATATGTTACAGGACCAGTAGTTCTGCTAAGTACTCCATGCCAAACCTCATAAAAGTCTTGTCTCCTTTCACTTTTAACAAAAGCAGTTCATAAAGCCTGATTCTGTATATGACTTCATGGTCATTCCAAAACAAAAAGGCCGTAACTTCTAAAATATTTTATAGCCATTTCAATAATTTATTCAAAACGTTATGGAGCTTTATGTCCTAGATTTCCAAGAAACCAAGTCTAGAAATCTTAAAGGAAAACGTACTATAATTATGTCATTCTTCTGTTGGATCAGAATTCAACCTTATGTTTGTTTGAAGAATAGAAAAAAAAAACCACAAACCAAAAACCCAAGAACTCCTGCAAGACTAAGTTATACTCAACAGTTTTTTGCTATACCAAAAAAATATGATTTCTATTATTGGAGAACCAAAATAATATAAATCACTATGAAATAAATTTTCCATTTTCTATTTTTATAATAATGATTGCATGAAATTATCTTTGTCCAAAAAATTATACTATTGCAATGTATTTATGTTAAAGCATTAAAAAATAAATAACTCCTATTTTACATTCACTGACCTCATTTCCAAAGTCCTATTCTCCTGCCAAGCATTTTGGTGGCACCAGCCTCAGAAGGCAGCTAACATCCCTACTGACTTGATTGTACCATAGTCAGATACAATATAAATTAATAGAAATTAAGTACAAACATGCCAGTAAATAATCTACAAGTATGAATACAGTTTTGATAGCACAGCCATTTCTGTAAAGGGTTTCTGGGCTGCACCAAATTTAACATCTATAAATAGCTATGTTTATGGTGGTCTGCAATGTTCTGATGCTTCCTGTACATGTCACATACTGACTCTGACTTTGGCATTGACTGT